GTCCAGCATGCAGCGCTATCAAAATGGCTTGATTTTAGCAGCATCATTTTTTCGCTTTATGATACTTAGTTTTACTTAGAACATTCTGAACTTGGCTAGTCACGTGTCCTCAAGCCAACGGTATCAAAACTGGCAATATATTTTGGAATTACAAGTGTATTTTCTTGTAATTAAAACACATTGTAAGTTGCGGGTCAAGGTTGATATGTCTCTGACAGAGATAATGGATTGAAATGAAAGAATACATATACCTACTTCTGAGCTTTTGTTGACTGGTAGTCAACAAAATATTAATGAAGTGAAGTGAAGCGAATCTAATTCGCACTTTATTCTATAACGTGAAATAAGCGACATAAAACAGAATTCGGCATCAAAAGCCAAAATTAACCCTCGCACTTATAGGGGGGCGAACGGACCACCTCGGCTTTTCGCACATAACTCGCGCAAAAAGCGGCCGATCGCGACGAAACTTTTAGCACCTCTCGAGTTTATCAATTTTACACATGTTCTAAAGATTTCATGACCCTGACTCAAATGGTTTTTGACTTGTGACCTGAGTCTCGAGACCATGCTTGGCCGGAATCGCGATTTGGCGTAGTCGGCTCACATTATCCGCGCATTTCCAATCTTTTTGTGATTGTAACGTCCAAACATGTAAATGATGTTGGTCCCACGCAGTTTTGTGGGTGTCAACTGTCAAGGTCACCTGAAGGCTTGAGCTTTGGTGACCTCCGTTCACTTTTTGGAGTTTTACATGTTTCTAGAGTATTTTTTTCGGGCCGATTTCGAATTTAACATGCATTTGATCATTTACGAAGTAGTTTTAGTGCCTTCGTAACATGTTACGACACCGTCAGTGGTAGTTGACACTTGACACTCCCTATGGATAGCCGGCAGGACACCTACTGGTTGACCTGACCTGACCCGACCTGGCCTAAATGTACGAAGACATCTGTGATCAAAACTAACATGACATTCGTGATCAGCAACAGCCAAAAAATAATAAACTCTCTTTACGAACTTCAAATAACCCCCTATTTTCCCGACTTCTGGGTAATTGACCTGGCCTGGAAGGTTAACCAATGACATAGGACCTTAAAGTTGGTTATCATCGGCTTCCTCGCGTCTCGGGCAACACGCTTATTTTTCCGCGAAGCTCTAGCTCCACCAGGGGCCAAACGACGATGGGATTCCAACGGATCCCCCCCCCCCTATACGTTAAACGCTGGCAAAACACGAATACGGGCGAGGGCTAAAACACCAGTCAATTTCTTTATATTGTTTGTTCCATTTCATTTTGTCACTCATTCTCGGTTGGCAACTGCCAAGCAGGAAAACTAATCAGTTTCACGAGATCAGAATTCCCGCGCTGTTAGCCATACAGAAACGACAGTTCTGTCATTTTCGAAACTACGAATAATTATAACAATTTTTTATCTATACGTATAAAGGTGTTCTATAGTGTTCCTTTGTAGCTTGTAGGGAGCCATCTTGAGACTTGACAGGGAGTTGTGCTGTGCCTTTTGCATGTTAGGTATGTCCACAGAAAAAAAAACTTTGGGGTCACTGATGTTAGTTGTCGGACCTTCGTCCCCGTCTTGAGTTGAGATGTTAGTTTCACAACGTTTCGGCCAGTTACTCTCCGGCCGTCGTCACTCGTCAGGTGTTCTTTGACCCTCAGAAGGACCTGGGTCCTGGATGTTGGTGGCGTTGCGCCGTACGCGTCAAACAGTTCGAAAGCTCCTGTAGTCAGCGGGAATCGGACTCGGGTTTCCCCGGTGATGGTCCACGGTTCTAACCACTCCACTATCGAGGCAGATTTGACTATGGCCGGAGAAGTTACTGGCTGAAACGTTGTGAAACTAACATCTCAACTCAAGACGGTGACGAAAGTCCGACAACTAACATCAGTGATACTAACAGGCATCGTCTCAAGCATTCAGAAAAAAAAACTAAAGCTTTTGGGGGTTGATGGAATGATGTGGGGAAAGAAAAGGAGAATAGTTGGTCTAATTGACTTTGTCTTACCTGCAGACCCATATTTCATGCTAATTTGCATGCATACCAGCCTGGTATCAGCTTTTATCATGCATATCAACTCACCACTTGATGGCATATCAACTCACCACCTGTCACTTTTCTTAAAATTATAAAAAAGCGTTGTTATAGGTGAAACCCAAAACTACCTGGGATCAACAGTAAATTGATGGTAGTGTCTTTCGCAGTGCATGTTGTTCCATGAATACCCATCGTCTTTGCTGTAGGGTGGGGACTTTTCCTTAGTTTTAAAATCAGAAGAAAAAAGGACTTTGAAAAAAGTAATGTGTTAAGAAGGCACTGCACCACATGCATGCCGTTCTCAGCTATATGCATCACTTATTGGTTGCTTCACTTCACAGAAAAATAAAACTGAAAATTGATTTACAAATGGATGAGCAGCACACATTTTAACATTTTTCGAGCGATTTATATCAACTCACCACCCCATATCAACTCACCCCGGTTTACGGTACATCAGATACCTGCTTTAACGGCATTTTAAAGAGATGCTCCACTGGTATACCATAGTAACTAATAGATCATTCAAGGGATCTTAATGATGAATCATTTAAGATTACCGGCACATCATTCTCGTACCAGTATGCTGAGTCGTACATCATCGTTAAAGTATTTTACTATTTACTTGAGTGGCTTAATTAAACTCAAGTAGGTATTCAACGAATTGGGTGAACGAATAATAAATCGAGCCAAACAATCGATTTTGACCCCAGCCTCGATATCTGTTAGGGGAAGTTGGGGCAATGCCGGAGTTGGGGCAAAGCCGAAATTCAAGATATTTCGAAAACCGTACGACATGGATGCCACATGTCAGTGATGTTCTGAAGCTTAAGTGACTACAATTATCGCATGTTTGTTACGAGTCGTCATTCGGAATACTTCGGCTGTGAGGGCGCCAAGAGCGTTTTCAAGGTACGTTTCCCTTGTACTACATGCGCCTTTGAAGCTGCATTTCTTACTCATTATGCTACCGTTTGTCTGGCCAATTCGGTCAAGTAATCTTCAGCATGTCTTTGCATAAGTGTGCTGCCTATTTGAAATTTATACAGCACGTTGAAAAGTTATGGGCCTGCAAATAAAAGTATGGCTGGCTGGGGTAATGCCGAAGACGTGCAATTACGCACGTTAAAGCACTCTACGTGGACTTTACTGCTGTAGAATAGCAACGCGTATTTTTAGTCACACAAATTACACTTTCAACAGACACAACGGCCTGTTACCTCTAAGGAATGATTAACCTGGCCTTTTCTTATTATATCACACAATTATAACTTCCAGTGAGCACCAAGCGTCCTCAAGCTCTTAAAACCCATGTCAGCTTTGATGAATTCTGGATAAAGTTTGAGATAAAATGGCAAAACATCAATTTCGGCATTCCCCGTAGATCATTTCTCCCATTTTCGGCTTTCCCGCAGTCCGGGGCAACGCCGAAAAAGTCACTTCTTTGATATTTCTAGTTTGTGCGCTTAACGGTATGCGAATTCATCAAATGCGCCTGGTATGTTTGAAAGGCGAAAGACTGGCCTCTCGAATGACGCCAACAAGAATAGCTTATGTTGTCTACCTTGCGTGCTACGGGCGTCAGAAAAAAGTATTCGGTGTTCCCCCAACTTCCCCTAACCGTAACACGCGTGGCGCGACGAATAGGAGCATGCTTGATAATTCGATTACAGCTAATTGGAAAAGCGATACCAAGCCAAGTGCGTTTCAGTCTTTGCCACTGTTCTTTATGGCTTATCTGGGACGACCTGTGCGCAGATAACTTGGTGCAAGCTGCCGCTTGATGCCAAGCTTATCGTGGTGTTCACCGCTGTCAGTCAGCCGGGCCTATCTTCACGTGCCCCTCACCCTGAGTGACGGCCTGAAAGGACTCTGAACCTCTGCTGTCCTAGCCACACGCCTAGGGCGCCCACCGACTGTTAGGACTATGAACTCTTGCCGTCCTCGCCACCGCTTATCGCAATCGGCCGCGAAGATACGACCAACGAGGAACGGGGAGGGGGAGGGGGGGGGGTGGCGTCTGGTGGACGCAGTCCTGGAGACTCGAGACGGGCTTCGCTCGACCCTGGAGAGTGGTGACTGCGGGGCGCTCCTTCAGAACGATCTACAGACAGTACTCTGTGACACTGTCAGATCCTCCTCCGACGACAGTGAGTCGCAACTGTGTCAGCTCGAGGTGGTACTTTCTACCATGGCCTGTGGTAGCTTATTGTCTGTGATGCCGACAGCAATGTCCGTTTGTTGTCTGCTTGTTGTCTGATTGTTGTCGCCTGTGTATTTTTTGTCTCTGTTGACTTTGTGTTGTCTATAATGCTGTCTGTTTGTTTTTTGTTTGTTGTCTGTTGTCTGTTTGTTGCATGTTTATTGTCTATAATAACATCTGTTGTCTGTAGGTATATATGATGTAGTCTGAGCGGGCTGGGATGGTCTGGGGTGGTCTGTTGTGGGGTAGGCTAGGGTGGTCTGTGGTGGTCTATAGGGCGGCAAAAGCCGTGACACCGTACCGCTAGGTTTGTAAGGCTCGTTACAGTTACCTGTTTTCCAGTGAAACAATGCTTTAGGTCACGTCTGACAAGTTTGTTGTTTGACACACCCCGAAAAAGAGCTGAAGATGGTACCTTTATTGCATAATGTTTCGACCCTATATATATATATATATATATATATATATATATATATATATATATATATATATATATATATGTGGCATTGGCCAGCCTGAACGCCCCTCTTTCTGGCCACCAACCAAGTCGGCGCGGGTCGACTGCCAGCGCGGCAGCTCGCTCCTCGGTGTGCGGCTGTTGCCGCAAAAGTGGCGCCTCCTCCCCCCGCCCCCGACAAACGACCCGTCTCACGAGCCGCCCGTTTCGAATAGCGAATTAATGATTTGATTTGATTTGATCTGTATTTGCGTTTCCTAACCAGCATTCCCATTGTTGCAGATGAAAGGAGAGGATCACTCCCACTTCGACAGTTATCTGCGTTTTAGCGCGGCTATCTAAGCTGGTTGGACATTTTACGAAGGTGTTATCGAAGATAATCAACATGCTGCTTTTACAAGCGATACCAGTCACGGGACTGCACAGTGGCGTCCAGGAGCGACCTACCGCGGAGATATTCGGTAAGTTCGGCAGGTATGTCGCTTCGCTGTTCTCACCATAACCGACATACGGTATGTACGGCTATTTCAACTCGAATAAATCGTTCATATTACACCAGGCCTGTAGGTGACTGGAGTAGTGGCGCCATATCCAGAGACGGGGACTGAGTTGTGTACCGGCCGTTATGACCAGTGACCACTGACCGACGGTGACGAACGGCTGAGACTGTTGTGTGGCTGACTGACTGGGACCGCTGTGTCACTCTGAGCAGCCATGACGGCCACCGCCTGACGCTGATCACTGTGGTCAGGTGGAGCCCGTACACCCAGCACCAGCGTATCGTCAGACAGCTCCAGCGGCGACGAGCAGACACCGGGCCCCGGCCAGACGTGCCGCCCGGACCCCGGCCTCCGTCCGGACGTCCGGACGGCCAGCGATGTCGCGGTGACGGCCCAGCCGTGTCTCCGCTCGCCGAGCGGCCGCCGGGGGGCCGCAGAGGAGGTGTGGGACACAGAGACGTCCCCACAGACCGGGGAAGGCTCTGTCTCGGACGACGCTGACCAGGTGAGCTCGCCGTCCGTCTCGCCGCGCCAGCACTCTGATCAGAGTCTGGCGTACCGCTCGGACGGCGACTCTGTGTCCACCGGCTCTCCAACTGCGTCTTCTCCACAGTCCAGTCAGTCATCTGAGTCCGACTGTGAGCAGACGCGGCAGCCGGCCGCCGACACCGCCCAGCAGCGCTACGACTCGCTCTGCCGCTCCCTGGAGACACTGATCTGCTCCGCCGAGGCCGAGGAGCCGGCCCGCGGTGAGCCCGCGGTCTCTGGTGGGAGGTCGCCGGCCAGCCGCTCAGCGGTGTCCGGCGCCGGCAGCTCTGAGCGCCGTGTCGACAGGACGCTCCGTGCGGCCCCCGAGCAGCCGCCCCGCTCCATCGGCTACGCGGGTTTCGTGGGTGTGCCGGTCCCTCAGAGCGCCGGCCGCTCGGACGGCTCGCACGCGGCCGCTGCCGACTTCACCTGTCTGCGGTCGGCCGGTTCGGCTGCCCCTGTCCAGAGGGCGCCGCGCGCCATCCGGGGCGCGAACCGGCCGCAGCGGCTGCCGGCGGCCGGCGGCGGCGGGAGCTGGGCGGGGGACGGCCGCTGCGCCGCCCTGGCAGCGGACGGCGGGCTCCAGTGGCGTGTACCCAGTCGGGAGGAGCAGCGCGCTGCCGCCGCCCGCCGGCTGATCGCCGCCGCCCAGCCGGCCGAGCTGCTCTCGCCGACCGCCGCCTGGTACCAGGACTTTGACGAGCTGATGGCACAGTGTCGCGGCGACCAGCCGCTGCCGCTGCGCCCCGGCCGCCGGCGCTACCGGCAGCCGACACCGTCCCAGGAGACGCTGCGCCAGCTGCGGGAGCGCGTCTGTCTGGGCTGCACACGCGCCTTCCCCGAGGCCAACTACTTTGACGTGTACTGCCACGTCAACACCGTGTACGCCTGGTTCAACTGGAAGCTGGACGTCTGAGGGCGGCTGTTCTGGAGAGCTGAGGGACTGAGGGCGGCTGTGTTTGAGGGCTGAGGGACTGAGGGCGGCTGTGTTTGAGGGCTGTGGGACTTTGTGTGGCTGTGTTAGCGGGTAGCAGCATATCAGCCCCGGACCATCTTTATAAAGAGTTTCTGCGCTTTGTAGCCTGTTCGTCGCGCTATACCAGCAGAGGTTTGTCTCTGACGCGGCACAGACTAACTTTGACAAGTGGTGCCATAACTTATAGTACAAATCAGAGTACTGGTAGCGATGCTCCTGCATGCAGATTGTGGCTGTACACGTTTAACCCAAGGTTAACCAAGGTTCATTATTCAACCAGTGTTGTGCTACATACATACTCATTTAACGCGCATAATTCATTAGCATGTTGCCATTTTAGAAGGAACTCTATTTCTGATTTTATACTACGGTGTTCCAGCTCACTCTAAATGCATACATTTATTATTCTGTAACTTCAACTCAGGCCAATGATCTTTGCCTTTCAATGGGTGCTTTTGCGCTCACATGTGTGGGTTTTATGGTTTGACTTGGGTGTGAATTATGTTTGTTGTTTCCCATATGTTGTTGTTTCTTATTGAAATAAAGTTATACACTGGCCCAAAGCTCACTACCGATCACAGCGATGATTTAAATGAGCAATTGTTCACCGGCTGTTGGCTATGATGGGCGGAGTGACCGGCCATCGGGTGGTGTTCGTTATTAAGAGTAAATAGATGTACTGACCGTTATTTGGACGATACTGGGGCGTAGCGACCATTATTCAGAGGGTAACGAGGTGTATCGGCCGTTATTCAGACGGTAATGCAGTGTAGTGGCCGTTATTCAGACGTTAATGGGGTGCATGGTGACCGCTATTCAGAAGGTAACTGGGCGCAATGGCCATTATTAGGACGGTAGTGGGGCGTAGTAAACATTAATCAGAAAATAACTGGGCGTAGTACCCGTGATCCAGACGATAACGAGGCGTAGAGACCATGGCACCGGATCAGTGGAACAAGAGAGGCGGCGGACAGAAGCCGACGTCATGGGAAAAATGCTACCGACGCAGTTTTCTGCACATTCTTGCGGCCGATTACACAAAAGGGCTTAGAATGACACTGACAGTTTTCCACACACTTGGTTGCATTTCACGCCAAAACTGTTTTATAAAGCGACTGCGGGTGTAGCCATATGATGTAGGGGAGACCCGGGAGGTATGGGCCGGTTTTGTGAAAAGGCAATTTTCTTCCAGTGGGCAGTGGCTACACCCGGTTTTTCACTCTCTGCACGTGAAATTGCCTTTCGCCTGCAAAGTGTGCCTGATATTAGGCATCTGGGATCAACTATTTTGTCTCGAGATAACTTTTAATAAATCATGCGCTTTTTCGATCCATCAGAATACACCGGGAGGTATGGGCCATGGGCCGGGAGGTATGGGCCGGTGCCATGTTTCATATCCTTTTCTCGACAATGAGAACAAAACTCGTAGCTGGTATCTACCTTGATCTCTCTTAGAGCCCAGAAACCGCATAAGCGGCCAACAGCTTACTTCATGGAGGTCACTTGGGTACATATGTATTTTGGTAAACTCAATCATGCACCTTGAAATAAAATATATAATATTTTTCTGTTCGAATGAAATTTGAAGCTAAATTTTCAACATTGCGCGACAAAAGTAAAACTTGTTGAAGATGACACTCAATGAAATCATCTTTTTATTGATTTAGGATCAACGGGGGTGGGTGGCCCGAACCTCCCGGTTAGGACGCCAGAATTTGCGTAGCATCTCAGCTCATAATCTTGCAAGAAAGCTTCAAATTGTCTATCCAGCCTTAATTTGCATGCTTTAACCCTCGCCCGCACATGCCATTTTCCCATCCTAGAACGCACATGGGGGGGGGGGGTTGCCACCCCCCCCCGCGCCATTTCGTTCCTGTTGGAGATAGAGCTTAGCGGTAAAGACCAAAAAGATTCTTTGGGAAGAGACGAATCCAATGATACCCAGTTTTACCTTCTCAGGTCAGTCATTGACCTTCCAGGTCAGGTCAAACTAAAAAATGTTGCTGTTTTAGGTCACCGTTGGATATCAAGCGCGCTGCTTGTCATATACCGATGACGATGCCGTTTTCTGGTGCCAAGCCAGCTAGAACCTCTTTGTCACACTACCCGACCAGGTTTTTGCTGCTGAGGTCATCTCAGGTCAAGTTAGGTCAAGATCAATAATATGTGTTTGTATGTCTGTGTGTGTCTGTGTGTATACTGATGTGTGCACAGATTGTTTATGTGTCCATATTACATGAAATCATGATCTGAGAAGCTTTTATCAAAAATGTAGTCAAAAAATTTCAAAAAAAGTAAATTCAGCTTGCCTAAAACGCAATTATCTTAGATGACCTAGGTTGACCTTGACCCTGACCTTGACCTCTGTACATCGTCGAACAACATGTTTCATGATAGGTGGGAGGTAGGATTGGCATAAAAGGGCGAAATCAAGGTGTTAAAAGCTCACAAGGCCCATAGCCAATGCAAGATGTTGAGAATTGGCCATTTGGGTCATGACATGACCTGAAAACAAGGTCATATCTCCGAAACCAAAAACCACAGAAACTTGAAATTTTCAGTAAACATCAAGAAAGGATAGAGGAGCAGCTATACGAAAAATCAGCCTTCTAGCTCTAAAAATGTTGAGTGCAGAGCAGAAAGACTACCTGGGGGGGGGGTGGCAACCACCACCACCACCCCCCCCCCCCATGTGCGGGCGAGGGTTAAACTTTATGTTAGCATTGGTCTGACATCATAAAACGAGCCTAGTTCGAATTTATCACGAGTTTTCTGTATGTACAGTATTATTTTACTCGAAGAGGGCAAAAACGCTTTATCGCCGCTCATTGCCAAAGAAGACTGAGGAAGATTTTGAAAAGCACGTGGGTTGTATAACGGAATGGCTGCTACCAGTTTACGCGGTCAAAATTGTAAAAAGACGTACCTAACACTTCTTCAAAACTGCGATGGCCCATACCTCCAGGGGGCCCATACCTCCCGGGTCTCCCCTACCTAATCAAAGGGACAGTATCATCATTTTGATGAAATTTCATATTGCATAGGCCCCACCTTTCTGGTCCGGGAACTGAAGACCGATCCTCGAAGCTCCACACGGTTCTCCCGCTATCGTCGCTCAAAGTACGAAATGTGTAGGGGAGACCCGGGAGGTCTCCCGGGAGGTATGGGCCATCGCAGAACTTTGAAGAAGTGTTGCGTATTTTTACACATTTGACAACGTTGACTGGTAGCAGCCGTTTCGTTATACATCCCACGTGATTTCCAAAATCTTCCTCACTCTTCTTTGGCAATGAGCGGTGATAAAGCGTTTTTGCCCTCTTCGAATAAAATACGGTACATAAAGTAAATTTGTGATCAATGTTAACCCGCGCATGACTGGGGGGAGGCTCTACAGAGCCCCCCTCCCGTTTTTCGGCAATATCTTCTAAACCGTTTGACGGATCAACACGAAACTTGCCGTACCTACCCTCAGCGGCATCAATTTGACACCTTGTGTTATAATTTAAACTTTCTAGCTACCATAGTTAGGCCGGAAATGACGTCAGAGTGACGTCATGTCGGTCAATTTTCATGCAAAATATTGAACTACGGCAAACGCTCTCAAGAGCTTATAGTCCGTTTTTCTTAAGTTCGACCCTCACTGTAATCATCTCTTTGAACACAGCACGAGAATTGCTAGCTGAATTACTTAGAAAACTGGCTGGCGCACATTGATTTCACAGACGATTAATTTTACTCAAAAATATTTCTTCCTGGCTCTTATTTCCCAGACTCCTAGCTCGTATTTGACTTTGTATACAACCCCACAGGGATAGACATTTTGTAAGAAATTATAACTGAACTGATCAATAGATCGCACGGCGTTTAACAGAACGGTATATCATCGGTGCTTAAAACTTATTTGGAAAATATTATTAATGTCTGCAGTACAATGTGCGCTAACCAGTTATCTAGGGGAAGCCGGGGGAAGCCCGGGCGCGGGGGAAGCCCGGCCACCCCGTTTCCGGCTAAATTATTCACAATAAAATGTTCAACTGTTTGTCCTTTCAGCGTGGCAGCTAAGGTAACGCCAGCAAAAAAGTTGAGGCTGACAAAAATTGCATATTGTTAAAGTTATAGCGCAAAAATGATATTTTAAGGGTTTTTAGCTAAAAAGTGAGATATGTTGCACTGTTGATGTTATACCATACAGTACTAATATTTATACGAATGTTATGTAAGGACCGTTTAAGTGTTTGTAGTGAGGGGTGACGAGGCAGGCTGGCTTAAGTATGACATGTTTTCGAATATCGCTGTTCTAAAATAAAAATTAGCACATTGGGGTAACCCTGGGCGAGTGGCCAAGCTTAGGGGAGAGCGGGGAGAGTTGTATCATGTCCAAGTTGTATCAGTGCGAATTGTGCCAAACTTATCCAATGGATGGCGCTCGCGACACGACCAGCCGACGAGGTTTTCCGGGCGCCATCTTTCCCTGTTCTGTCTTGTGGCTGAGTGGACGCGTCTCGAGGTGAGAGCCGATTTTATGTTTTTTTAATGTCATTCTAAAAAAATCAGTTGCAAGAAAATGTGTGTTCTGGGCATTTAGATGTGCACGAATTTGAAAGATCTCCGTAGCGGTGGTGAGGGTAGGTTCTAAGGCTGCGTGAGTGAAAACGGATTTCTCCAGCTGTTCGCTGTTTTTTTAGCACGAGGATGTTTTTTCCAAGATGGCGGCTAGGTACATGTTGTATCAGAGCCGGGTGGGGTATGTTGTAACATGTATGTATGCATGTATGTATGGGTATGTAGCTTTTGATCGCGAAAGCTAAGCCCTGGCTCGCGTTTGTAGGTAGCTAGTCAATGCTCGTTCCATTTCGGCACAATGTGTTGGCTTCTTTGCTATTAACAGACCACTTTTGCGTCTAGTCTGTTGATGTTTCGTTCGGATTGCATTGACCTAAGTTTGGTCTAATAAAGTGAAGCCTTTGAGCATACCTATACATTGTATTGACCCCATTTAATGTTGTTGTTATGTTCAAAACCAGTAGCAAGCATACTCCCTGAAACGTGAAATAGTGATACAAATTACCCCACCATGTGATACAACTCACCCAAGCCATGGGGCAAGTTGTATCAAAAACATTGTTCTATTCGGGAGACCGTAGAAGAAAAACTGGTAGAGGTAGCGGAAAAGTTACTTTGCACAAAAAAGCAGAAGAATCAAGGAAGGGGATAGTATGGAAATAATGAGTTTATCACGGATAGTTACGAGGTTATGGGTCTCGGAGTAAAAACTGATACAACCCACCCCACTCTCCCCTACCCCCAACCGAGAGCAATGCCACTAAACCACTGTTTTCCATGAGATAATATAGGTACTGAGCAGGTTTGGTTTACACCTAGATCAAAGATAAATTTCGAAAATAAACATGTTATCATAGACAAAGCCAGTCATGTCACTTAAGGTCAACTAGGGTCAAACTACGTTTTTGCAGATAACGCGACAGACAGTGAAGCTAGAGCTTCAAAAATGGTGTCGTTGTGTTCTTCTTCATCAGCCGAGTCGAATGATATGCAATATGAT